ATTGCGTGTGCTGGTTCCTGCTTGTTGCTGCTATTTCCTCTGCTCTTGGGTGCTGGGCTGCTGCTTCAAGATTCTGCTTCAAGATTCTGCTCCCAAATCACTCACATTCTCACTCCTCCCTTCATCTTATCATGTATCATTTTTTGCAACCCTAAACTTGATGATGTTTCAGTTGATAAATCTGAAATCTAATCTGGGTAGTAGTGATAGTAGTTTCATTATGTATTGGTATATGTATTGTGAATTTTAATCAATGAAAATGGTGACTTTTTTTAATTTCTTGTTGATATTACTCTAATTTTAATGTTATTTATCTCCAATCTTATGTTATCTTATTGGATGATCATGAATATCAAGGAATAATGAAGATAATTTGGGTGGACTTTATTACTGGAATGAAAAGATACAAATGATATATCTTGTAATTAAAATAAATAAGTAATCTAAAACGATATTAATAATGTCGTTGGCCTAGATCTAGGTGATATAAACCTTTGTATAAACCTAAGCCGTTTGATTAGATCTACATTTATTAACATTAATTATTTAATTGTATTTACTATTTAGCCTTTTAGGTTGTAAATAATTCAATTTGAATTAAGCAGTTTGTAATTGGATAAGTTTAAACAGGTTGCGATTCGAAAACAGTTCGATTTTAACGGTTTAACGGGTTATGGCAGTTCTGTTTAGACGGTTAGCGGATTATAACGGTTTGGTTTATACGTGCGGTTTAAACGGTTTCGGTTCATAAACGGGTCGGTTTAAACGGTTAGCGTTTCACAAATGGTTCGGTTTAAACGGTTTTTTTTTCGGTTTAAACGGTTTCGGTTTATAAACGGTTCGGGTCATTAACGGGTTTATAAACCATTCGGTTCGGTTTCGTTTCGGTTCGGATTTGCGCAGTTTGGTTTGTTATCGGTTTACGGTCCGTAACGGGTTGACATTGAGCGGTTCAATTCGGTTTCGGTTTGATATTGAACGGTTCAGTTCGGTTTTCGGTTTACATTTATCGGTTTATAAACGGATCGGTCCGTGATGGTTCGGTTCGGTAACGGGCGGTTTCACGGTTCGGTTTGAAAAGTCCCACCCCTAGTTGCAACTATTGTGACATTTCCGTTTTAGGAAAGTGTTGCAACTATAAAGAAACGGAGGAAAAATGTTATTATTAACTTGAAATTATTTTTATAAAACTTAAATTATTTTTATTAAACAAAAGTATTTTAGACCGATTAAAACTTATTTGTACTAAAATAATTAAAATAATTATTCCATATTATTTTTTTTAAAAAATAATTTACTATATTGTAGATGGATCTTATTTTAACAAACTTCTTAAAAAGAATTTTATGATGTAAATAGAGCTGAGTTATAAGATATATATTAAAAGTTATGATTAATTTTGTATATAAGAAATATTAGAAGTATATAGGTAATAAAACTCTATACAATATTTTTATTTTATAAAATCTATTTTAAATTCGTCTACTTAGCATCATATGTGTCACAATAATACCTATTGTTGCTTATGTGGCATGACACTTGGCGAAAAACTGGAATATCAAGTGTCGTTGTCTCGTGGTCTGGCTGTGAGATCCGGCTTTATTTATTAGTGATATGATATATATTAGATTGTCATTTCAAAAATTACAGACTATTAAAACATTTTTGTAAGGTAAGATGAAAGATACTACTGAACCGACACCTTTCACAGGTTAAGCTATCCCAACTTTGCAGATCAACGCTTGAGAATAGAGGGGGGGGAGGGAAGGTAAGAAAATCCCTCTACTTCCAAGCAAATGTAGTTGGTGGGGCTCGAACAAGGTCACAAGGTGAGTTCCTCTACCTACTCCACCAAGCTTTGCTTGGTAACAAACTATTAAAACTGATTTCATCATATAACATTGCCATTGCATGATAATTTTTAAATAACATACTTAGCTTCCTTTGTATTTATTTAGAAAACATTTTACTCAAGCTACATTCAAAATATTATTATACATGACTAATATCAGTATATATACAAGATAATATGTATCTTTTATATTATATATATATATATATCACAATAATCTAATTAAAAATCTCATAAAAAAAAAAAAAAAGATCAGATAAGTTCGTTCTATTCAGGCCAAGTCTAATATAATAATTATATTAAATATGGAGTACTTTTTTTTTTTTTTTTTTTGACAATAATAGAAACACAAACAAGTGAACAACTAAATTACATCCATACCTTTTAAAAAGTATAAGAAAACAATTATTAATAGAGTGAGGACAATCATAACCTTAAAATGTTTGTTTACCTATATACCCCTATTAATAAAATGTTAATTGCCTCCAAGCTTTTTCTTATATGATTTAATAATTTAACTCTTACGAATAATGTTTGGACAATTGTATCCTCTAAAATTTTTATTTACCTTTTTCCCTCATTAATGTTAATTGTTTTTTTTTAAACTCTTAAGAATAGTGTGCGGACATTTATACCCCTACAAATATTTGTTTACATATTTTCCTTCATTATGTTACCAACAACTGAAAGAGCTCTCTGGAAATGGTTAGCTATGGCGCGTAGGGATGTCAAGGGGGCGGGGCGGGACGGATGTTGGCTTTCCCATCCTCATCCCCATCCCCGCCTAATTTTCATCCCCATCCCCGCGACAGGTCCAAAATTCATCCCCATCCCCGCCTCGCCAGGTCCAATTCTAAAACCATCCCCGCCCCACCCCCACTTGGATATCCACCCCTACCTAATCCCCTTCCAAGACCTGCTTAATCCCTGCCTCTCAAATACAACAACACTACATAATATAGATTACAACAAAAAAAATTCATTGTTTATATTACACTTTAATTTATTTTTTTATTTTTTATAATATAAGTATATTATCAACTATGTATTATATTTACTACTTTATTTTACAAAATTTTTTTATATGAAATAATATAAAAGTATGTAATTTTTTGTAAACAATATATGGATGGGTAAGGGGTAGAGATGGGGCGGAGCGGGATGGGGCAGGTACAACCTAAAATCCATCTCCGCCCCATCACCCATGGCGGATATGGTTTTTATCCCCATCCCCGCCCCACCACCCGCCAAACCGAGACCCATCCCTGTCCCATTGAGGCGGGGATGGAGCGGGTCTCCTACTTGACCCGCCCCATTAACATCTCTAATGACGCGCGCATCGCCGCGTTAGCCACCCTGTACTAAATCGAAAAAGGAGACAAAGTAAGACTATTTAGTTGTACCATTATACTACCTCCATTTTACAGAATATCCCATACGTTTAACGAATATTGAAATCATAGATTTAAAATCACATTTCATACCATTTTAGTCAACCGTAATTTGTGTTTTCTATATACACAGATAAATACTTCGTATATCTTTAAGTAAGCAAAAAAAAAAAGAAAAAAAAAATTTACTATTTGTAGCCTTGAAAAAATAATAAACAACAATAGCCTCAACAATTTCAAGACAATAAAATGTTATTCTCTTTAAATCCTCTTTCTCACTAACATTATGTTTAAAGGAGCAACCCGATATAATGCGACACACTATTTCATAATTAAGCTTTAATCTTTCAAACTAAAGTGAAAATATGATCAGATTAGCTTATAACAGATATGTTGCGTAGCGTTTATCACGAGTAATTCTTTTTAAATGCCACTGTACAATTCTTCTCTTAAAGAGAACATTTTACAAATAATTTTGACAAGTATTCAATGAGAATTGCCATGTGTCAACCTAGTTATTATTTAAGTACTGAGTAGCAAGTAAAAAACTTATTGCTGTAAAAAAAATAGTAAAAACTAATAATTATCCATTTTTTATTTTATTTTATAAAAGACCTCACGTTAAGTTAAAAAAAGTACTACAAGTAGTACTATTGATTTGCAATGCCAACGTCAACCGATCAACGTACTTCTCCTATAAGCTCTATTCAACTTTTATTAATTTTGGATTTTGGAAAAAAAAATAAGTTTTGACAATTCAATTTAACAAATTTGAGGCTTTGAGCTAACTAATTTGGATTAATAACTAATTGTTTTTTTTTCTTTTTTTCTTTTTTTTTTTAAAAAAAAAAAATCAGATTAATTCAAATGTGTTTGGAAAAAAAAAAATAAAAAATAAAATAAAAGATTAATTCAAATACTCTGAATTCAAGTATTTAAATTAATCTTTGAACAAGCACTTATATCATAGTATGGCCATTGTACAAGCGGAGTTAATGGGTATGGTATAGGGTGGACACTTATAGGTATGGTACAATGACCAAATTGAGCCTCCACTGAACTCGCAGTCCTAATTTCAATTCAAAGTGTCCACCAATCAGTCACAACAAACGAATCGCAGCCGCTTCTCCGGGGAACAATACTCCCTCTTGAAGCAGAACGTTGATGCTTTGAAAATCATTCAATTAGGGTTAATGATTGATTGATTTTGTGGGTGTTAATAGAAATTATGAATGGAAAAAAAAAATAAAAAATCGAAGAAGTACAGTAAAAAGGAGGAGAGCAGAGGAGAGAGAAAGAGAAGGGAAGAGAGGATTAAGGTTGCCGCACAAACACTTGGTTGCCGCAAGCCGCACCCAATAGTTTGTGTTTGTTTTTATTTGTAATCAGTAGCTAAAAAAAACAGGTTAAAGATTTAAGGAATTTCTATAGAGAAAAAGAACTGCTATTTGCTATTCCTAAAAAAACAGGTCAGTGTCATGAGTTAACCCGAGCAACAAATAAGACTCCCTATCTTTAAAATGTCCCTAATTGAAATTGGACTCTCAACAATCAACTTCATAGTTAAAAGGTATTTTTTATTTTCCTTACCATCCAGCCAACATTTTTTAATTTACTAGTATAAGTTTTGTAACTTTATATTACTACTCCGTAATAAAGTTCACAGTTTAAAAGGAATCCCAAATATTAAAATACTAGTATAAGAAAGGTCCACAATCAACACTTTGTAGTTGTACAAACTACTTAAGTCAAGTCGTGCCATAAATTTCTGTTAAGCCCATATGCTTGGCTCATATTATTGCCGTTCTTTTGCTATATCTCCCTCACTTTCTCTCTCTATATATTTGTGGTAATTGAAAGAGAAACTTAGAGATTAACTAACAAAGAAATGCAGACCCATGAAGCAATAACACATGATGAAGAGAGCCCAGAAATTAAAGGAGAGAGAGTTTATCAAAATAATAATGGCAAAGAAATCAAGGATAATTCTATGGAGCAACATAAAGTCTCTCTTATGAGAACCATGGTTGATCGTCGAGATCCCTCGGCTAAGGTTAGTATTGAATTTATGTGTGTAACATCTTCGGTAATTTAGAGTGGTTGTATGATTTTAAGCTTAGTCTATTTATGATCGGAATTATTGTGGAGTGTGTTATACTAAGTGATAGTTCAAGTAGAGGTTCATGATTAAATTTTATGCAAAAGGAATAGAAATTATTAACAAAGACAAAAGCGGAAATCATGGAGAAAATATTGTGTCAATCATGCTCTGGATTGTTCTATGATAACATTCAAATACCCTATGATTTTGTTCATAACCAGCCACCAAATCCAGAAGAAGACAGCACGTGACTAAGTGAATCTGTGATTTTTTTTTCTTTTTCTTTTTGGTCTTACAAAATTTAAACAAATGATATATATACGAGATTAAATCTTTATCTGATATTTAGAATTTAACCAACTAAGCTAATCGACACCATTTTAACTCCATGTTATCATTGGTCTAGCCCTTCAATGCTTGTGGTCCGTCCCATGAGGCCATGGCCAAAATTAGTCCACCTTTAAGGCCGAAATTCTCTTACCAAATCCAAATGAAATCAGGCCGACAATGATGATCAGCTCTCCAATAATTACATTTTTTCTGGGTGCGATCAATGTTTTTAGTTATGATTGCTTATGAGAAATCATCGTGCTAGATTCAGTTTTAATTAATGAAAATAATTTATTTCAATCTCGTATTTCGTATTAGATAAATGAACATGGTTAAGGATAGGCCTCGGCAACAAGGCGGGGCCCATTTAAGGCCATGATCTAGCCTAGTAGTAAATGAGTAAGACAAATAAAAAAAATTTCATGAAAACCATCAAATGAAGTAGATATCAAAATAATCTCCAAGATACTACGTTTTAAATTTCGCTTAATGATCCACAAACTTCAAAACTATCTCAATAATTACCACATTCTCGATTTTAAGCTAATCGGAGAAGAAAATAAAGAACCGTATAATTTGCACAGTAAATGGTAGACACGGTGACATTACAACAAAGGCTTGTAATACTGCAATGATTCATAAACCTACGTATAATGATATTGTCTCCATAACATAACAAAGAGTATTGTATGCATCAGGAGGCAGATGACTTGATGTTGAGGAGATTCTTAAGAGCCCGCGACCTAGATGTGGAGAAAGCAGCAGGGTTGTTCTTGAGGTATCTCAAATGGAGGAGGACATTTGTACCCAATGGCTTTATCTCAGAGACAGAGATAGAGTATGATCTTGGCCACAAAAAAATGTTCCTGCAAGGCTTTGATAAGCAAGGCCGCCCTATTAACGTTGTCTTGGGCAGTAAACATTTCCAGAATCCCAAACCAGGAGGTCTTGATGAGTTCAAGCGTATGTTACTTACTCTCTATCTGTGATAACATAGATTTTCTATCTTCTGCAATACTATGAAACACTGGAAAAGTTCTAACCAGCTTGCTCTGGTTTCGTTGGTTTTACAGGATTTTGTGTCTACTCTCTTGACAAGATATGCTCAAGGTTACGCTCTGCGCAATCTCATATGACAGTCCGTTTTAGTTGTGCAATCAAATGATTTTTACTGACTGACTAAACTGCAACATTGTATCTGATTACTATACCAGGATACCGCCTGGACAGGAAAAGTATCTGGGTATTGCAGATCTTCAAGGATGGGGATATTCTAACAGTGACGTCCGTGCATATATAGGGGTTCTCTCTCTACTGCAGGTATATGTAATTATGCAACAAAGGCATACATACTGACAATTTTATCAACATATTCCCTCATTACTGACAAATTGCTGATGTACTATCTTCAGAGTTCAGACTAAAACAATGTATTGATGCTTCAATGCTTGCGTTTAATGCAGGAATGCTACCCAGAAAGATTGGGGAAGATGTTGATTGTACACGCCCCAAGAATCTTTATGACAGTGTGGAAGATCATCTGCCCTTTCATAGATGAAAAAACCAAGACTAAGGTACTTCAAAATAATCTTATAAGTCTGTTATAATGTAGTTTGCTAGTTATACAAAACATGCATTAAACAATTTTCAAACATATAGAAAGATTTTTACTTTAGTGGTAAAGTAAGATGTACAGCATAGTTCATATGAAATATTCCATTGATCCCATCTGTAACTAAAATTACCATTTTCAACCTTGCAGATGGTATTTGTGGAGAATCGCCACCTGAAATCAACCTTGCTAGAACACATTGATGAGAGCCAGCTCCCTGACATATATGGAGGCAAACTGCCGCTAGTACCTATTCAAGATGCCTGACAGTAATTAGCATAACAGAGCGAGACACAGACAGACTATATTCAGAAAACAAAATTTTCAAAAAAAATTGAAATGATTCCTGCACCATGGATAGTACCTCTTAACACTCCCACGGGAATATAAGTAGCCGGAAGAATCGATAGCATAAACCTCTGTAGTTCATGTTAAATTATGAAATACTAGGGCTTGCTTTGTGACTGTATAAGATATCCATCATACTGCTCCATCACTGACTTGTTTAATAACATCACTAGGATGTGATCATTGTCTATTAGTTTCTAAATGAGATGACATATTCCATCACTTTGCTGCCAATGTAAGTTTCAGATTACTTCTACAATTATTCACATTCACAAACTTTATTTTGTGATCGTGTATATCTTCATTCATTAATTGCCTGAAAAAGAAGTGATCCCAACTACTAGTTCATTTTCTTCAAATAATTGAAAGAGAAGGGATTGAGAGGAAAAGCAAGGGATCCATTGCCGTTATTCTGGTCTCAATTTGGTAGACGGACAAAAGAATGCTAGATAATAGAGCTGATTATGGACTGAGCCAAGTTTGATTAGCTCTGAGAGAGAGGCCAAATAATATCCACTCTATAATACTACGTAAGATAAATCCGTTCGAAAGTGGAAAGATTTGAAAGAAAAACCTTGCTTCACCTCCCCTCTCCTCTTTTCCCCTCCCTCTTCTAAGGTTTTCTACTCTACTTTTTTGCTCAATCTTCCCTTCCCCAACAAGAAAGATGAATTAGGAAGATTTCATATGAACTTGTGTACTTTAATAAGCATTTCGTGTTACAGCTCATGCTAGCGATAGCTAATTGTCCTCCACAACATGTTGCCTTAAACATTACGAGTACTGATTTCTAAAAACTCTCTGACATTAGAATTCAGAAGTCAAACTAATTAACTATTCATCAAGATTCAAGATCACAAAACAATTAAAGTTGCTACAATATACATCACAAAACAATGTATTGTATTCTTGGGGTTGTACTCAAGAGCCGAGATTGAATCTCGTATTATCGTCTATGTCATTTACCATTTGTGACTTTATTTATGTATTCCAAAAACAATTATGTGTTGTACAAAACTGAAGGGTTTCTGATGTGCACACCAGGAGGTAGATGACTTGATGTTGAGAAGATTTCTAAGAGCTCGTGATCTAAATGTGGAGAAGGCAGGTGCCATGTTCTTAAAGTATTTGAAATGGAGGAAGACTTTTTTACCAAAGGGTTGTGTCACAAAGGAAGAGATACAATATGACCTTTCCCATAACAAAATTCATCTAGGAGGTGTAGACAAGAAAGGACGCCCTATTGTGGTTGTAGGAAATAGTCATATTTAGCTCCTTAATTATAGGAACAGAATATGACTAATTATGTTAGGCATATATCTTGTATAACAGTTTCCTTATTTTTCTCTGTTTCCTCCTGTATAAATGTACCAATCTTCTACAGAGTAATACACAGAAAAATTAACCCTAAAAACATTCTCTATACTTCTGCTATTCTAAACATGGTATCAGAGCCGTAAGGTCGATCCTCGGGAGATCGTTCTTTTTCTGGTGCTCATCATCTACCGTAACTTACCTGTGATGGAAGAATCACCGGAAAACACCAGCCAACTTATTTCTATGGAACAAATGGAACAAATGTTTCAAATGTTTCAAAAACTCAACAAAAACCCAACCAACACCGAAACAGGGACCTCACAAACAGTGCGTGTCGCTGAAAAACTGAACTTCACCAATTACACCAAATGGTGTAAACTGATGCAGATAGCGATTGGTGGCCGGGGAAGGCTCAATCACATCATCGCCAACCCCGTTTCACCAGACGATCCAGAGTACCAGCAATGGGCTCAAAGAGACTCGATGGTGTTTTCATGGATCATTGAGAATATTGACGGAGACCTTGTAAACCAGTTCTTGGACTATAAAACTGCCCGAGATTTATGGAAAGGTATTGAGACTCTCCTCAGTAGCGGGAGAGATGAACTGCAGATCTATGATCTGAATTCGAAGGCTGCTTCTATGAAACAAGGGACTGACACTATAGAGGTGTATTTTAGCAAATTAAATACCCTCTGGAAAGAAATTGATAGACGAATGCCCAACCCGATGAAATGCGCAGAGGACATCACATTGTTTAACTCGTTTATACAACGACAGAGGTTGTATTAGTTTTTGGCCGGTGTGAATGACTCGCTTGACAAGGAAAAACGAGATATTCTGTATTTAGATCCCCTTCCAACCATTGATGTCGCGTATGCCTCTATCAGACGGGAAATTGCCCGTCGCGGTATAATGACCGGCGAATCATCACTGAGACGAGGTCCCTCAGAGGTTGGAAGTGGTCTCGTCGCCCAACGCCGTTCGGATTCCTCATCCCGGCGAGAGGATAAAAACCACCTAAAGTGCAGCCATTGCGGGGGGACAAAACACACCAAGGAGGGGTGTTTTAAGCTCATCGGCTACCCAGAATGGTGGGAGGACCTAAGACAGCGCAAAGCCGCCACCAAGGCCACAAAGACCGGCCGCAAGGCTAATGCCGCCATCGGAGAAGGCGAACCGACCAATACCAGTGGGGACCCACCTACTACCGTCACTGACAGGCGAACAGGTACGAGTAGCGAGGATGGGTTCACCGGATTTTCTGGTGAACCATGGCTGAAAACGGAGGAATTGACGGAAAAAGGACATGGAAGGTTTCTAGAGGAAGCTTACTCTAAAACTTTCTGTGAGGCAACAAATGAAACCCACAACATAAAAACCGGAAACCCTCAAACACCCTGTACCCCTCATTTTCTTCCTTTTAAATCAGAAGCCCAACCCACTAAAGCCCAATACACTCCTTCCCTTCATACAACTTACGGTTTGGGCCTCATGTGCAATAAATCCACTTGGATTTTTTACTGTGGGGCCACAGACACTATGTCCTACGACCCGTCCGACTTTCATTCCTCCAAATCCACTACCCGTACCAAGATTCAGACTGCAAATGGGGAATTTATTCCAATTACTCAGGCCGGAAATGTAGATATTACATCAGAAATTCATTTAAAAAATTGTCTCTTAATTCCGAGTCTTACTCACAAACTCTTATCCGTTAGTCAATTAACCAAGGAACTAAACTATACAATTCTAATGACTTCTTTTGATTGTATTGTACAGGATGCTCACATAGGGCGGATCATTGGTCGTGGTATTGAACGAGGAGGCCTATACTATGTGGACGAGGCGACTCAACAGGGTAACGCTTTGCTTGCTCATGGGTCACCGGAATATCAGATCTGGATGTGGCACCGACGGCTAGGTCACCCATCTTTCGGTTATCTTAAACGATTATTTCCCTCTTTTAAGGACATTGATTTTGTTTTGGATTGTGAAGCATGTGTACTTGCAAAAAGCCATAAACACTCTTACTTTCCTAGTTTGACTCATGCTGCTAGACCATTTACTTTAATTCATTCTGATGTATGGGGTCCTGCACCTGAATTTGCTTTTCATAACTATTCTTATTTTGTCTTGTTTGTGGATGATTGCACCCGTATGAGTTGGGTTTATTTTCTAAAAAATAAATCTGAAGTGTATGATGTGTTTATAAATTTCTACAACATGATCTGTACTCAATTCGATGCCCATCCCCAAATCCTCCGATCTGATAACGGGGGAGAATACATAAACCTGGATATGAAACAGTTTATTTCTGATCACGGCCTTATTCACCAGACCACCTGCCGGGATACTCCCCAACAAAACGGGGTAGCTGAACGGAAAAACCGAACCCTTCTTGAAATTACTAGAGCCATTATGTTAGAATCCCATGTTCCTGTCCATTTTTGGCCAGAAGCTATTGCCACAGCCACATATTTAACCAACCGACTACCTACAAAACCTCTTGCCTACCAAACACCTCTTGGCACTCTTTCTTCCCATGTTTCCATTCCTTCTTATCATTCTTTACCTCCTCGGGTGTTCGGATGTGTTGTCTATGTTCATCTTCCAAAAAGGGTTAGAAATAAACTTGAACCACGAGCCATTAAATGCGTTTTTATTGGGTATGGGGTTAATCAAAAAGGGTACCAATGCTATGATCCCATTCAAAATAAAATCTACACCACTCTTGACTGTGAGTTCTTTGAACACTCCTATTACTATACCCAGCTTGGTCCTCAGGGGGAGACTACGAGTGATGACCTTAGCTGGTTAATATATCCAGAAATGATGGACCATGACCCTCCAACACAAGTAGGCAATACCACCGATGTTGCCACTGAAACGTCAGTATCAGCTCCTTCTCTTCAATCCATTCTAATGGTGACCACTGAGCACCCTGAGTCAATATCAGTTGAGGTAAACTCTGAAAACCATGAATCATGTACTGTTCCTACTGACCCTGTATCTGTTCCTAGTGAAAATTGTCTAAACAGATATGAGTTACCTCCCAAAAGCACGAGAGGTGTTCCTCCCAAAAGATATGACCCGGAATATGAAGACCAACGGTCTAAATACCCCATAGAAAAGATCAGCAATGAAAACTTATCTAACACAGCTGTTGCCTTCACCGCCTCCCTATACTCCACAACCATACCTAAAACCGTGGAAGAAGCTCTTGAAGATGAGAAGTGGAGACAAGCTATGGAAGATGAGTATGTTGCCTTGAAAAAGAACCAGACATGGGAAAAATGTATCCTGCCTAGAGGAAAGAAGAAGGTGGGATGTAGATGGGTGTTCTCCATTAAGCACCGGGCAGATGGAACTATTGAAAGATACAAAGCAAGATTGGTGGCCAAGGGCTACACTCAGACTTATGGGATCGATTATTCAGAGACGTTTTCCCCGGTAGCCAAGATAGATACGATACGAGTGTTGTTCTCTATAGCAGCAAATAAAGATTGGCCCTTGTATCAGTTTGATGTCAAAAATGCCTTCCTTCATGGAAGCATTGAAGAAGAGGTCTATATGGAAGCTTCACCAGGATATTCTCATGATTTTGAGGTTGGAGAAGGATGCAAGTTGAAGAAGGCCCTGTATGGTTTAAAACAGTCCCCAAGAGCTTGGTTTGGAAGGTTTACTAAGGCTATGAAGAAGTTCGGATATAGCCAGAGTAATTCTGATCACACTTTATTCATAAAAAGGGCAAACCAGAAGATCACCTGTCTAATCATATATGTAGATGATATGATCATCACCGGAGATGATGAGGAAGAAATTGCTGCCTTGAAAGGGAAGTTGTTTCAAGAATTTGAGATGAAAGACCTGGGAAACCTGAAATACTTTCTTGGTATAGAAGTCCTAAGATCTAAGCAAGGGATTTTTATTCATCAACGAAAGTATATTCTCGATCTTTTAGCTGAAACTGGAATGTTAGGATGTAAGCCGGCCGACACTCCAATTGTAGCAAATCATGGTCTTCATATCGTAGAAGGGGCAAAGGCAACCAATAGGGAACAATATCAGAAGATTGTGGGAAAACTCATCTATCTAGCCCACACAAGACCAGATATCGCATATGCAGTAGGGGTAGTAAGTAGATTCATGCATCTCCCTCAAATACATCACATGACAGCCGTAATGAGGATCCTGAGATATCTAAAGGGTACAAGCAGCACCGGGATTTATTTTGGCAAATATTATAAACCTCGATTTAATTGCTTACACCGATGCAGATTGGGCCGGGGACCGGGATGGAAGGAAATCCACTTCTGGATACTTCACCTTGGTAGGAGGAAACCTTGTCACTTGGAGAAGCAAGAAGCAAAAAGTAGTAGCCTTGTCAAGTGCAGAAGCTGAGTTCAGAGGAATTGTGAAAGGGATAACTGAAATCCTGTGGATTAGAAAACTGTTAAATGAGCTCGGTTTTCCTCAGAAAACAGCCTGTAAATTGTTTTGTGACAACAAGGCAGCAATAAGTATTTCTGGAAATCCTTTCAGCATGACAGAACAAAACATGTTGAGATTGATCGACACTTCATCAAAGACAAGCTAGAAGATAAGATCGTCAAACTTCCATTTGTTCGATCAAAGGATTAGTTGGCAGATATCCTAACAAAAGCTGTCAGTACTGAAGCCTTCAGTAATACTTTGCGCAAGTTAGGCATTGGGATTCTGAGTGCCCAACTTGAGGGGGAGTGTAGGAAATAGTCATATTTAGCTCCTTAATTATAGGAACAGAATATGACTAATTATGTTAGGCATATATCTTGTATAACAGTTTCCTTATTTTTCTCTGTTTCCTCCTGTATAAATGTACCAATCTTCTACAGAGTAATACACAGAAAAATTAACCCTAAAAACATTCTCTATACTTCTGCTATTCTAAACAGTGGTTGCGTTTGCAGGTCGGCACTACCAAAATTCCAAATCAGGGGGTCTTGATGAGTTTAAGCGTATGTCTCTTACTGTTTAACTATTAGATAGCTCTATTATACTTGAGCTGCAACAATCTACAGAAAAGTTAGTTTCTGCTCTAAACATACTTCTCTGGTGGGTTCCTGAACAGGTCTTGTTGTGTATACTCTTGATACATTATGCGCAAGGTACCTCTCTGGTTTTCATTCTTGTACACGAATCGAAGTATACAATGCATTTTAGTAAGGTCATCTTCATTAAAATTCTTTCTGTTGATCTCTAGTACACAATCTCTGGGGTGATAATTTGCCAATCTCAAACCATCCAGACACAATGTTGCATACTACGTATAAAAAAAATCTATACAGTGAGGAGCAGAAGAGATGAACAAAATAATTCCATCTCGGCGATGGGGAGATCAAGTTGCTTAAATAACAAAGGAATGTTTTAGGCCATCCCAAATCCTAGACTTACAGCAGAATTCAGGGATAATTGTGGTTAAGTGTCATTCAATAACGTTTGTTGCGTAACTAATATATATAGGTAATTATAAAACAGGATGCCTGCTGGACAGGAAAAGTTTCTTGCTATAGGTGATCTACAGGGCTGGGGATACTCCAACAGTGACATCCGAGGATATCTTGGGGCTCTCTCTATTTTGCAGGTAAATGCAGTTTTAGTTGCATTTGGCCCTATGTTTACAAACACTATGATCAAATTCCTAATAAGAGCCCCTTGAGAGAAATCAGAGGGGAAAGATTATAATTCAATGATCATTTGACTCCTAGAGTTTGTGGCAATGGCATGTTTGTCACAAACTACTCACATATGAACCATCACACAGCAAAAAGAAAAAATCAAAAATTAAAAATAAATTCTACATTGCAGAAAAAAATTATGTGTTATGGGTGTGTTTCAGGACTGCTACCCAGAAAGATTAGGGAAGCTGTTAATAGTGCACGCACCAAAAATCTTTATGGCAGTATGGAAGGTTATCTACCCCTTCATCGATGACAACACCAAGACCAAAGTGAGTGCTCGAAAGCACTTTGCCCTCTATGATTTTTTTTTTTTTTTTTTTTTTTTTTTTTTTTTTTTTTTGTGTGTGTGTTGGGGGGGGGGGGGGGAGATGGTTGTTAAATCTCATTAACATAAAGGATGAGACCATGAGGGTATTACTTACATAGCATGATTGCATACCATCACCATTCTTCACACTTTTGCAGATAGAGTTTGTGGAGAAAAAACAGATAAAATCAACCATGCTAGAAGACATTGAGGAGAGCCAACTTCCAGACATATATGGAGGCAAACTGCCAATAGTGCCCATTCAAGATGCTTGAAGATACTGTAGCACTACAAAGTCACAAGGACACCCTTTAGGATCCACAGCCGTCAAAAGAACTCAGTCAGTGTGATCCTACATTTCTGATCACTCCCGTCGATCATCTCTGGAAAAGTGTGTATTCATTAGATTTGCAGGCAGAATCCACAATTGTTACGTGATTAGCTATTGTTGAATTATGAAATACCAATGTCTGTATGATGACAACAATATATATATTAATATATACACTGTACCTGCATGCAATGCTTATATTGTCATCGTCACCAGAAAGGAATAAATCTTACTACTTCTAAGCAGAGATAGATAACATTCTCCAAATCACAATGAATTTCATAGTAATAGTTATAGTAATACATGTAATACAAATTATATGCTTATCTAAGTTTCAGATAAACTGATATTCACTGAGTTCAAAATTGACATTCTGTACCAAAATTATGCTAAATTCCTTGAAACAGGAAACCAAACTCTCCCCCCACTTCCTGATGTGATGATGTCCCTGCATTGTACATGGTAGGCATATGGAAACAGTCGAAATGTCATATAGATATGGCTCGCTAACTACCATGACCAAGAAACTCGAAACCAAATAAATCTCCATTCAGAATTGTTACAGTTCATAGTCTGTGGATTAGGTTCAAGTGTTCAACACCCCAAAGATTTAGGTACCATCCCATGTTATATGCTTTAGCTAAGGTCAATTTGGGATAATATAAATCCGGAATGCTAATTTGAGAATCAAACAGACCAACACGCATCACATAAGCTATTCAGAAAAAAACAATCACATCATAATAACACTGAATACATAAAGTCACTCTTCGAGTTTTATAGGCTTGAATAAGCAAGAAACATTCAAATATATTTTAAAGCTAGTAGAACCAATATAAAAATTCTGATTATCCTATTTTATTGTGCGAAACCCACAGCGAAGCCAAGGTAAAACTGTACTCTACATACTAAACAAAATTTTCTGTGTCTCATAAGAAAGCTCACAATTATTCCTGCAAAGTAAAGGAATTACAAGTGTTCTAATACACTCCAAGTCAAAGCTTGCTTGGGAATATATGGTTTACCTAGAGTATATACAAGGCATTAACAGATTAAGCAATAGCATTCAAACATATAATTTCTAGCAGACTATGTTATACCACCATTTCTAGTTTTCTACCCATGTATGTATTGACAGGTTAAGCTCTGGGCATTTAAACAAATTTTATACAGCAGAAGTTCACTGGAAAAAAATTTTAAGAAATAAATAAGATATAAGGTCCTTTATGTTATGCCTCTAAATGGGTCAAGGAAAAGCTTCCAAATCTGCCATTCCACACCAATTGGAAACACAACTACTCTACGAGTCAGCCATGAGTCCATGACCCACCTCGGCACCTCCCTATTCCAAAATAATTCCAATATTCAATTCCAGCCATAACACCCAAAGGATGACCCAGCCCAGGGATGAATAGACACTTCTCCCTTTCCCCTCTTAGAACCAGCATAGTTCATCTACAAGTGCAAGCAGGATAGAAAAGGGAAAGTCGTCAACCCACAATGAAAAAAAAAAAAAAAAAAGGAAAGGTCACCACTAGTTTCACTGCTCAATTGAGATTTAACACAACATAAACTTATTTGGTAACTCCAAAATTACTAGCAGCTCATAGCCTGTTTAAATATGTAACTCGATGCAACGCTCGTAGCTGAAATCTATCCCCTTTCTTTTACATTTCAGTAAGACTTGCTCAAAAACAGATTCATTAAATTTATAAAACTGAGCTTTGGCCTCAAAATCCATCAAGCATGACAAACAACTGAGAGAAAAATCCTCTATACCAACATCTCAGCTGGAAAGTTTTACAAAGTCTAGCAGCAGATACCTTAACCAAAAAAGTTGCATGGGTCACAATTTTAGGATATGACTGGCCCAACTAAGTAAGAAAGTCAGGAACTCGCAGAGGTAGGAACATACATTTTCTCAGAATCCTTGAGAGCCAAGAAATTGATATGGAGCACCAGCAACTGTACTGGACCTTTAATAAACCAGCCTCATAAGGTGCAACATTGTAACCCACATATAGATATGGGTGGATTCCTATTCTTTCCATGATCTCTACAGCATAGTAACCCACATATAGAGACATAGGTCAGTGCTTTAGTTCCATGTTCCATCTATGTATGGAAGAACAGCAAAGTATATCATAGAACCAATCGATTTCATTCAACAAAAGCATCAGGTGCAAGGTAGATAACAATCAGTTGACGATGTAGACGAACACTGTGCACTCAACAAGCTTGTGAGGAAAAAAAAATAAAAATCCAGGTCACATCTTTAGATGACTACGAATCCAAATTACAATCAAAGGCACCAACCTTGTTGAGGACACTTAGAAGCATGTCAGCAGTTAAAATGTAAGATTGACTAATACAGCACCTGCAGAGCAGAAATTCAAAGTCATCACCTAAAAATGATAATTTAAAAAGGAGTTCAAGGGACAAAAAAATGGTATCATAGATTCATAGGTAGCCGAGCACATCCACTGACAGAGAAGCTCCTGGACTAAAGTCTAAAATGGATCGACTAGACACCCAACCAAACAAAGACAAACTAAATTATTGCGAGAATAAGATTAGAAGCTGCAGACTTTCTAAATCCAATTCTCTGATACCTTGTACATGAGAGGCATGTGACTAGAAGTAACATGTACGCTTTTTGTGCAATTCTGCATTCTAAAGGCTACACTAGGAACATATTATAATCTAGAAAAAAAATCTTGATCACATAACAACATACTCTCTAATTGAACTAATAACCAAACATGTTCAGTTCGTTGTGCCAAATCTAAACCCAAACAAAGTTCATGGCCATCAATTTCAAACACGTAGATACATCTTACTAGTTCCTCTAATTGTTCGTGAATTTACTTTTTCTACTCTAAGCCACAGATCTTATAAAAGACAATGAATGATAATTGGCTAAAATCACTTACATATTGTTTAAGTGGTTTCCGACAAAGGTGAAATTTACTTTGGAGTGTATTATTACACCTATTTATCTGGTCCACAGACTAGTGCCTCAGAATATTCAAATTATTGGCACAACAAACTGACCAAAAAAATAAGAAAATAACGGATGGGCAGTGAATTTCATTACCCGAGTACGATAGAACCTTGAAAGTTGTAAGAATAACTAAGTTTCATTCATTTCTTCCAATATAACCTTGGAATTATAACTAAGTAACTAAGTTTCACACGCTTGGACATGCATAATTCTTCTTCTAACATTGACCAACAAAGACTTACAAAGAGGGGTTAATGGAAGAAGAAACAGGCAAAAACAGATTCAACATAAGTGGAATACCTTCGTTACTTCATATCCAAACTTGAAGTGGAACAACACAAACTAACTGCTTCTCTCTAGCATTAGCTGATCTGTCAGCTTACCAATCTAACTTTGTCAGCCTTGTATATCCTCACTAAGAAACAGCCTCGTGTATGAAGGAAATTTCATAAGTTCATTAGAACTTGTTCAGCACTCACCAGTAGTCCCCACAAGAACAAGAACCAGCTTCAAACTTGTGAAATCGGACACGATCCCTGACAATGATCACCCTTGCCAACATCCTTGAAACTATTTTAAACCAAGAATGACAGTCATAGCAAGTTCGTAAGTTCTTTGTAATTCGAATTTCCGTTCTCAGACTAGTTTTAAGTACTCCAAAAGCTAATGCTAATTTCTCACTGTGGAAAATCAAATTCTCCTCCTTTTCCTCCTCTGAAACATCCATTAAAACCAAGTCTGTTGCAGGAACATAACCCCCTAACTTGGCTCTTTTAATCAATTGTTTCATAATCTTGTATATTGCCTCCATTTCAGGGTGTGCCTGATTACGTGCCTTAAACTGGTGTATGATCCCCGCCAATTCAATCCAACTTTTTCCATGATCCTTGTGGATCCCCTCCCTTTTCATCTCCTCTCTCATGTTTGCAGAGCTGCTCCACTTGTTTAAAGAACAATATGTGTTTGACAGCATTACATAATCACCACCATCAAGGGATGATATATTTCGAATAGCAATTTCGCCTAGTGGTGCATTTCTGTAAGTCCTACAAGCACTGAGTAGTGCCTTCCATATTACCACATCAGGTTGCATTGGCATTGCTCTGATGGTGGCATAAGCTTCATCTAGTTGTCCAGCACGACCTAAAATATCAACCATGGTTCCATAATGCTCAAGTTCTGGTTCTATAGAGAATTTTCTATTCATCATGTCAAAATATTTCTTTCCCAGCTCAACTAAACCACAATGACTACATGCAACTAAAATTCCAAGAAACGTTATACTGTCAGGATAAATTTTTTCCTCTTCCAATCGAAAGAATACAGAAATAGCATCAGTGGCAAGACCATGAACTGCCAGGCCAGTAATCATCGAATTCCAAACAGACACACTACTGCTTCTGCAGCCATCAAAAAATTCTTTTGCTATTTCTATTTTCCCACATTTTGCATACATATCTATAATTGCAGACAGCAAAATGTCATTCAAAGCAATTTTCTTCTCGATCAAGAGATTATGTATCCATAAAGCATGATCAAGAGCTCCAAGCCGTGCACACCCAGCAATAACAGAAGAAAATGTAAACTCATCTGGCTCAATACCCAATAAGCACATATCCTTAAACATTCTTAATGCCTCCTCTAATCGAGAGTTTTTAACACAGCCACCAATCAAGGAATTCCATGAGACAACATCTTTTAGAGGCATGTTAAAAAACACCCTTTTGGCAGCCTCAACATCTCCATTCTTCATAAACCTTGAAATCATTATATTGCCGGTAATCAAATCAACCTTCCAACATGGGGTTTCATCTAGGAGGTGGCGGGCAAAATCAAGCTTCCCACAATTAATATAAGTCAGCAATAAATGAGATACGAGTGAATAGTCCATGCCAAATCCTAATTTAACAATCTTGGCATGGGTTTCGAGTACTGCTTTCGAATCCGAGGAGGTTTTACAGTCATCAAGAACACATTTAAGCATTTGAAAATCTGGGAAAAAAATGAAAAACCATATTCAACTTGCCATGAATATACTTAACTTAGAAATATTAGGACACTATTCACACACTCTAATTGGACTATGTTTGATGATTTATAATTACAAAAAAACATAATCATGCATGATTTTGTAAGATGTGTCTCAACATATACTTACAAAACATCAACTGTTTTGTTTCAAAAAAAAAACATCAACTGTTTAATAATCTTTACTCATTGATAATTACAGACATTTAATGGTTAAAGGTATGCATTCGCAAGCGTGAAAATTTAAACATTGCAACTAATTGCTAAGCTTTAAACGATGAAACAATGCATTTCCAACAATACCCAATTAAATTAAAATACATAAAGTGTTCATATTCAGTTGTAATCAAAATTTTGTAGAAGGCAATAAACAAACAAGAAGTGGTCAGTTCTCGGCTTTTTTGTCTATATCAAATTCAGCAATTATAAATCATCAATTTCACATTAATTACAATTAAAAGATAACGACAAAAGAAGAAGAAAATAAGGTTTGATTGACAAAGAAAAACAGACCTGTTGCAGTGGCAGCGGCAGGAAGGGGTGAAGAAATGGAAGAAAAACGACGAGAAAAGAAGTGATAGACGCACATCCTGGTGTTCCGGTGTAGCGTCGGCATGGTATAATATTTCCTCCCGTTTTACGCTTTACTGCAAATTCTATATTAATGTAGGTTTATAAAATTCATGTTATTCTAACGTGAGCTTCTTATTATTTCAATCTAATATCATATCAAATCAAATTATATATAGGATATTTTACAAAAATCGGAAAATGGGTTTTAACACCTCAAAAAAAAAAAAGGTTTATTATAACACTAGACAAATGTTACGAAAATGGTTTTTACCACCACTTAACGGTTTCCGTTCAAAAATTCCGTTAAGTGGGGTCCACAGTGACACGTGTCACCATTTTACTTGTTTTCAAAAAATAAAAAATAAAAAAAAAACAAAAAAAAATAGATTTTTTTTAAAAAAAACTCAAACAACCAGAAGGCAGCCACCAACGGTGATCCTTCTCCCCGGCCAACTCCCGAACCACCCTCTCCCAGCCCCCCGTCACCGGGTTTCGCCACCGAACCTTCCTTAACGCCGGAAATTGACGTACCCTTGCTTCCCGCAGGCAAAATTCGAGAACCCCCACCGAAAATCGTGCCCAAAAAACGGCGACGAATTTCAAGGGTGGTGGTTTTGCTGCTGAGCAACCTTCCTTCCCCAAAAACGCCGGCGAATTTGGCCATTAATGGTTGAAATCGACTGGTTTTGGGGCTAAGTGGCCTTAAACGGCTAATTTCGGCCATCAATGGCCGAATTCGTGGCCGAATCAACGGCCAAAAATTCATGGTTGGTGATGGCGGTGGTCGGGCTAGGGTGGATTAGGGTTGCGGGAAAAGGGTGGGTATGGGTTTAGGTCGGCCGGTGAGAGAGGGGGAGGTGGTGCGTCGGTCGTTGCGTCGCCGGCTGTGGGTCAAGCTGAAGAAGAAGGTGGTAGTGGTGGGGCGGCGGTGGGCTAGGGTGGCTGGGTAGTTTTAGGTTTTTTTTTTATTTTTTTTTATTTTTTTGGCCAATAATAAAGCAACACGTGGCTCATGAACCCACTTAACGGATTCCTAAACGGAATCAGTTAAATGGTGGTAAAAGCATTTTTATATTTTTTGTCAGGTGTTAAAATAAAAGTTTTTTTTTTGGGGTGTTAAAAACCATTTTCGGGTTTTTTCAGGTGTTAAAATCAAAAATATCCTTATATATATCACTAACAAATAAAGCCGGTCTCGCAGGACATTCCAGTTTTTTGCCAAGTGTCGAGCCAAGTAGGCGATAAATAGGTATTATTGTGACACATAGGATGCTAAGTAAGCGGAGTTTGAATATATTTTTAAATATAAAAATATTGAATAGAGTTTTATTATCGATATACTTCTAATATTCATATATATAAAATTAATCATAACTTTTAATAAATATCCGGTATTATTTCCATCATAAAATTCGTTTTAAAAAGTTCTATAAAATAAGATCCATTTATAATATATTTAATTTATTTACATAAATAATAGAAAATCAATGAAAATAAGTTTTAACAAGGGAAAAAAATTTATTTTTGGTAAAAATACTTTCAGTTCAGTAAAATATGATTTCAGTTCAGTATGTCTAAATATCATGCATTATCAAAAGGGATTATATGACCACATTTAACATTCCATCCAAAAAGTTTATCCTAAACTTTTATCAAACCTATAGGCATCGCCAGAGCACAAAGCTAGACGATAGAATTTGTAAAAGACTTGATTTGGGTGAATTTGTAGTTTTGTACACACCATTACATGCAACATCCTATATCTTCCTGATTATTGTTTGTGGATGATTTGGGTGAATGTCATTGAGATCCTTAAAAACAATACCAACTAACGTAAAATTAATTTACAGGTTGATTTATTTAGTAGATCAATAACTGAAATTATTAATAAACAACAAATCTTTCTTTTTTTGATTCGGTCAAATTCATATATATAAAAATTGAAATCATCTATCTTTTTTTTCCTGATAAAATTAAATTAGCTTTTAGTTATTTTTGCTTTTAGATATCAAGTTTTGAAACTACCTTGAAATTTTTGTTTTAGAAAGAAATATTTAATTATAATTTTTAATTTATTAAAAACAATAATAGATAATCAACAAAATTAAGTTTAACCAGTAAAAAATAATTTTGGTTTGGTAAAAATACTTTCAGTTTAGTAAAAATAATTTAAATTCAAGTCAATAATAACATAGATATCTATTTACAAACAAAATTACAAAAAGTACACTATTCTATAAATAAGCGATAGGATATCGTATGTCTAAATATCCTTTAGAATTTTTTTTTTTTTTGAAGGAGATTGGATCGGATTAATCAAGCAGAATTAATCTAAGAGAGAATTTTCGTATCATTTTTCTCATATACAGTGTGTATATATATATATATATATGTGTATATATATATATTGCGTGCTCTTACAAAAATCAATGGTTTCCTTCGTCAAAATATCCTAAATCAAAAGGGATATACATCTCTTACATAACAATGTTTGTATCAATGATATGTTTTAAAATCTAGCGTATAGATAAAAAAAATATTTTAAAATTCAATAAACAAACCGGGTATCGCCACCAAATTTTAAAATTCAATAAACAAACCGGGTATCGCCACCAAAATTAAAATTCCAAATAAGCAATCGTTTTTAAAAAAAAAAAAAACCCTAAAAGTCTAGGAGCCGAAAACTTACTTTCGAACTAAAGGTTTTGAATAAGTCTAGGAGTTCTTTTTTTTTTTTTTTTTTTTTTTTGGTAGACAGGAAGTTCAAATTGTTAAATGTCAATGAAACCGTAAAATTAAATTACTCATTTAATTTTGAACATTTAAAGCAACAAATATTCAAACGTGGAAAGATGTAGACATTAGTGATAATGCCTTTGAGAATAAAATTATTACTTTATAATTATTTTATAATTAGCCAATTAATTTAAGGATTTTATATTGTGGAGGGAACCCGGGGCATCGCCCAGGGTACGTACTTCACTAATAAATAAAGTCGGCCTCGCAGCTAGACCACGAGACATCGACACTTGACATTCTAGTTTTTCACCAAGTGTCACGCCACATAGGCAAAAACTAGGTATTATTGTGACACATATGATGTTAAGTAAGCAAATTTTTCATAGATTTTTTAAGATAAAATTGTTGTATAGTGTTTTATTGTTGATATAATTTTAATATTTCATATATACAAAATTAATCATAACTTTTAATAAAAATCTAATAGCTCGGTTTTATTTTCATCATAAAATTCGTTTTAAAAAGTTCTTTAAAATAAGATCCATTTATAATATATTTAAAATAATAGAGAATTAGTAAAAATAAGTTTTAATTGGTAAAAAAACTTTCAGTTAAAAAAAATAATTTAAGTATGATATCTCATGTCTAAATATCCTACATCATCAAAAGTGATTATATAACCGTATTTAACAATCAAGCCAAAAGGTTTATCCTAAAATTCAATAAACAACCTGAACATCGCCAAGGGAACCAAACTTGTATATATATAAAGGGGAGTTTTTTCCAGAGTTTTTAGAGAGCCACATAGGACGAAATTTTCTTAACGCGCCATGTAGGATTATAAACTTTAGTTATAGCCAATCAAATAATAGATTATAATTTCTTGTAGAATTAAATAATTCAAATGCCACGTAAGCAAAATTGACGAATGAGATTTTAAAGTTTAAATTAATTAAATATAAAATATTATATTTTAAATTAGAAATTTTATCTTGATATATAACGTATGAGAGGAAATTCACAATTATTTTAAAATAAAACTATTTAATGATTACTACGTACAACGAATAAAATAACAAATTTTATCAAATAAATACAAAAAATATTTGTTTTAAAAAATAAAAACAAATCGTGCGTCGCACGAGTTTCATCTAGTTTATATATATACTACCTCCGTTTCGTATTATCTGCAACATTTTCAAAAACGGATGCTACATATTATGTGCAACAAACTAAAAGTTTCCTCTTTTAGTAAATTTTTTTGTGTAAAACTACCAGCATACCCTTACTAAATGTTACTTAACTTCAATAAGTAACATATTAACTCTTTAACCCAAATTAATTTATCCATAAGTAAAACCCTAACCCACATTCTTCCTCCTCTCTCACAACCACATCCACCTACAACATCACCAAATTTTCTCTCTCCTCCATCACAACCACCACCACTAGCAGCCCTATTCTCTCTTCTCTCACAACCACACCACCACCACCACTCAGATCAAGTCACCGACCATCTCACCTCACCCTTGCCAGTTCACTGCCGCCTCTTTCAAATTCGATGGTTTTTCTTAACCAATACGAGGTGAGGTCTTGGTGGTGTTGTGTTTTGGATCTTGGTGTGGTGAGGTGGGATTTCGATTCGTTTCCTTGGTGGTGGTAAGTTGGGGTTTCAGATCTAAATTAGTGGTGGTTTGTTGGGGTTTCAGTCTGTTGGAGGTGGTAAGGTGGTTGTTTCGGTTCGTTGGTGGTGGTTGGCCTGGTTACGTGGGGCTTCGTTCGTTGGTGGTCTGGTGACATGGGGCTCTATTCGTTGGTGGTGCGTGTTGGTTGGGTGGGTTTTGGGTGGTAGTGCGAGTTGGTTGGGTAGGTTTTGGGCGGTGGTGCGAGTTGATTGGTGGTAGTGCGAGTTGGTTGGGTGGGTTTTGGATGGTGGTGGTGGGGTTTCAGATCTTAGTGGTGGTGAGAGAGTGGTTACAAGATGGGTTTTAGTGGTGTTTATTTTCTCTCTCATCCAATTAATCACATGCCCCTTTTTTACTAATCTTTGCTTAAGAAATTTTGTCTTGGGGATTGTGCAACCAAGTTTGTTGCAGATAATACGAAACGGAGGTAGTATATGTTATTTTTAAATAAGTACATGTTATTTTATACATGCATATGACTATGAAATATTTCTCTCACTCTACTTTGATTAAAATTCATCGCCATTTTTCTCAGTCATCTTCCTCCCACACTCACACTCACTTCCTCTCAGCTACTCCAACTCAATACAAACTATTGGGTGCGGTCCGTACCCAATATGTTTCGTGCGGCAGCGGAGGAGATGACGATGAAGACTATGATGACGATGACGATTTGAAAATGGGGGTAGCAATGGTAGATTTGCAATTAAAACCCTAGATGTGAGGCAGGGCCTAGTACGGTGGAGTTCGCTGCTGGTTTGCGTGGTTGGGTACTCTGCCTAGCTGCGCGGCTGGCCGTGGCTGCGGTTGACTACTGCCCTACTGGCTTCATGATAGAGCTCGTAACAGGTCTAGTGTTTAGAGGTTGTGGGTTAGTACGGTGAGTAAGGTTAGGTTGGTGGCGTGAGGTCAGGGTCGTGGGTTAGGGTGGTGGCTAGTTGGGTGGTGGCTGGTTGGGTGGTGGCGTGAGGTTAGTGTCATGGGTTAGGGTGAGGGAGGTCAGGGTTGTGGGTTGTTGGGTAGTGGCGTGAGAAAGAAATAGAGGAACAGGGGGAAAGAGGAGAGAAAAGGAAATAAAAATACTAGTATCATATTAGCCAACAAATAACGCATATCAACCATTAAAATGAACATATCAGCCAATTGATGTCTGATATCAGTCAATATTAGGGACATGTTAGAAATTAATAAAAACGTATCAGTCAACACATGGAACATATCAGCCAATAAATGAAACATATCAGCTAACAAATGGAACATATCAGCCAACAAAAGAAACATATCAGCCAATAGAAGGAACATATCAGCCAACAAAAGGATGAAATCAGCAAACAAAAGTACAGGTAAGCCAACAAAATAAACACATCAGCAAACATAATGAAACATATAAGCCAACAATTAAAATATATATATTAGACAACAAAATAAAGATATCAGCCAATCAAAAAAATATATCAGCCAACTGATGTCTAATAGTGACAGGCGTTAGAACGATCGCACATTCTACACTTGATCAAACACATTTATAACAAACTCCTCACAAACCAAGCATAATGACAAGTAAGGGTTCGGTCCACAAAGAACGGGGTATTAATTGCTAAAGACTTTAATACCTAAGCTAATTCAAAATCGGTAGTTGAAAGGGAGGCGATTAACAGGTAAACTACAACTAAAGATATAAATCAAGCGATTAAAAGCACTAGGGGAATGGGATTCACCCAACCATGACAATTAGGCAAATAGGGAGAAATAGAGACAAAGGGATAGCAAGGACCATATAATATATCAA